ACACGTGGAGTGTGTTTCAGCAAAATGCGTGGCACGTGGAGTTGGAGTGGGAGAATATGAAAAAAGATGCTGCTTGCAGCATGGCTTTCAGGGCTAACCGCAGGGCTTTAACGAGCTGGTACTTTTGCTTTCAGCCGTGTTTCAGGGAAAGAGTACCTTTTTAACAGGATTCGGGCTTGGTTTTCTAGCATTTGGTCTGAAGAAACTATTGCTACCCTTATTCTTCGGCGTACAAATAATTAAGAGTGTGCTACTTGCTCTCTTCCTACCCAGTATCATCGGCAGTATTGGTAATATCGTTGGAAAAGGTACGTATATTTTGCAATTAGTAAATCTTATTACAAGCATATTATAAATATTTAAAAACAATTTGTAATGATTGGTATAACTATCATTATATTTTATTTCTTTATCAAAGAATATGCTATACACACATATACGTGTAGTAGACGGTAAGTGTCTAATCGATGTTAATCAATATTAGCGTGTAATTATTCAATATCGAACAATTAATAAGTTTTAGCAATTCAAGTAGCTTTAGAGATTATAACTTTATAATATAATTGTTGATTTTTCAATCGAATTTTATTTTTGTGTAAGCATGGAAGGTTTAGAAAATTGAAAAAATTAATATTAGAAATTAAAAAACAGCACATATATGTATATATAAAAGATGTAGAAATCAAATCTTATTGAGAAAACAGTTTCTCCATAGAATTTCTCTATAGAAAATAGTCTTTTGTATTCTTGCAAGAATTCACATAGTAGCATTAATATTAATTGAGAAAGCTGAACTAAAAGTGTAAATACATGTTACGCATAAATTCCAGGTGTTTCCTCTTTCGCGCAATCTTCGCATCCCGCGCCCGTGGCGGCATCGGAAGAGAATTTCGAGTTTAAAGATAACTCCGATCTTTATAACGATGATTATCTGACGCGACAACCGGTAGGCACGTTACCAGCATCCGCCATGTACGACGAGAGTATGATGCAGACACAGAAAACTCCGGATATTGCGTCCCGCTATGGATTCGTCGATTCGAGAATATCTCACGCAAATGCGCTTTCGGATCGTTACTATACGCGACACGTGGCTGCACATGGACTTTCTAAACCACAAGATTTTAAGGTGAGCTTTTTGAATAAGTAATACACGATTTTTAATTGGTTGCGTTCGGCAGAAAAAACTGATCAAGTAAGCGCTCAGGGATATTCTTTGATTTGATTGGTTCGTACGCTTATCCAGTAAAGAACTCTAAAGGTAAGAATCAATCATATTAAATCATTGATCAGTTTTCTTTGCTGAACGCAGCCAATTACTCGCAGATCTTATATATTTTCTTGTCACAAAGTAAATAAATGGCTTCCAAGTCACTGCACTACTTTCTTTTCTTTTTTTTTTTTGTACTCGGATAATGTTATCCATACATTTAATAAGGAAGTTTAATCGAAACTATATATATTAATTGTCAGGACCTTTCTTATTAATAGTTAATTAATGGAATTCTTGATTATGTAATAGTAATAATTCTTACCGAATGATTGCAACTGGATAGGATCAGAAAATGCAGCTGTTGATTCGTACATGTTACCGTCGCATTAATAGTCGCATTAATAATCGCGCATAATCATGAAAGAATTGTCTGTTAACATTTGACTCAATAATGAAATGGGTAAGTATGCCATAAGAATACCTTTGTCTTTTTTTTTATGCTGCAACTTTTTCTCATCATCAATGAATAGAGAGGACCGTGCTTTCCACTTTTGATACCATTCGACTATTGACATTGGTCATTGAGATTCACGTCGTTGCGACCCACTTCTTTGTTTGCTTCGTTTTTTAACTCAATCGGCGCCTAGCTGCACGCGTAACGGATACAGTGACCATTACGTAGCTGTAAACACGCATATTGATTATTGGCGGTAGGTCTTTCACGAGATACCAACGAGCTCTTTGCTGTTGACGAACTACGACCCGTTCTACTCACCCCTGCTGTCACGTCTGGACGCCGTTTTCTCTCGCCTCGGACACAACACGGAAGGCTGCAGGGAGTACGCAGTGTGCGCGATGTATCGGAGCCCCGCGCGTTATGCGCCATATTCAAACCTGGTCTCTGCTCAGCTGTCTAGGGAGTTAAACGAGCTGAGGAAACCCAGCAGCGACAATCCCGACGTTCTACGTTTCTTCAGATACATGAAATCCGCCAAGGATGGCCAGGATGGCGTCAAGTGCGAAGAGATTTATGCGAATTGTGCGAACGCTCGTGAAGATCAGACCTTAAAGCAAAATCAAGCGATGCTTGCGACGTATCAAGATATCAATAAGCTCGTTCAGGCCAGAAAGATTTGAGAACGTTATAATTTACTTTTGTCGTTGCTATTATTAATTGCAAACGTGATAAAAAAAGAAGACGCGTCTCATATCGCTTCATCGAATACACGAGCTTTAGGAGCAGTGGCTTATATAGTTCTGATCGGATGCACTAGTGCAATTGCCAAAAAGATTTAGCGTTTGCTCTAACGATTGAACGTTCATTCATAGATTTTGCGCGCAAGTAAAGTTCGTAGGTATTCTTAGTGGTGGATTATTACGGTCGAAGCGCTCATTCGGAGAGCTTTAAGATGCAAAACGTCAAGTTTTTTTCCCCAAAAACTTGATTAACTTTTAGTCAAAGTTTAAGATGAAAAACAATATTTAAATATTTTTGAAATTGTTTCAATTTTGGAATAGCGTCTTAGATAAGAGATTCTGAAATTAATTTGCATTTGGGGCCCTTGAGACAGTTTTAATTCGCCATTGTTTGAATCTTCAACTTCTCAAAACTAAACAAGCTCTTGATGGTACCATACACATTTTTCTAAATTATCGTTTGTAGCAAGAGCGCGATGTCGAGTGTGTAAACGTGTTAGAATATGTAAACCTGTCAGATCTTAGAACTTTTATTTTTTTTTTCAAGAAATTAAATTTATAATTAAAACGTTTTATAAATAATTAGGATATATTTTTTTGAGATTGTTAAAATTGTATTGAAGTTATAAATGCATGTTTTTTTTATAATTGTTGACGTTATTTAAACTTAGCTTTAAAATATGTTTCACAACATTTTCTTGCATATAAACTACTAAATTCAATGAAAGTGCATTATAGAAATAGGGAACGTTTTACATAGAACAAAACATTCGATTATGGCATAATTGTGAGCAAGCCAGTATTATTTTCTAAGTATCTTGGAAAATAGAAACTGTGTTGATACAATCAAGAACATCAATTTACACATAATAATATTTCGCTTTAGATTACGAGACGAGTACATGTGATTTAATCTACTTCTCACGTAATAAAGCGATTTTTGTATGAAAATAGAAATGAGTTCTGCTTATGATTTTAAATGAAAATATTAGAGAAATTTATTTTTTTGTAAACAATCTTGAAATATTTACGATCAACAATTATGCTAAAAAATATTCTCATCAAGTTGAATTTGCTCAAAACTCTTGCAAATCTTAAAAAAATTGTAATAAATCAATTTTCTTAAATGGATATTTATACAAATGAATGTTCGGTAAATAATTTAATAACGTTAATAAATAATTATTTGATGAGTTGTGCAAAATACGACGTAATTAAGTTAAAAAATTATTGTATATTTAATTTATATTTATTTATCGAATACCATCGTGTACAAGATTTAATCTTACGATGGATGATAGTAACTCTGGATATTTATTTATTTATATAACGTGAGGATGAAGATGCTAATTTATATGTAATACGAGCGATAAACATGTTGCGCAGAGCGTATGTGTATTTAGATTAATTCTAATTTTATTCCAAAATTGCGATTATTCCATTAATTAAGTATTTATAAATTGATGTACAGACTGAGTACGTCAATAAAAGATTATGATGTCAGTTATATGAGTTTCTCCAAAGCAATGCGTCAGCATACGACATAATCAATTATGTAATCAAAATCCTATTTAGAACAGAAAGCGATAAAAAAAAGAACGAAAGAGAAAAAGAATTTTTTTAATTAACTTTAAAAACATGAATTACAACAACTACACGGAACAACGTGATAAATCGATTAAACCTTACAACAAACGAAATTCTGTATTAAATTCCGTGCACGTCACAGAAAAAAATGATGTTATCTCACATATATAGGAAAGTAATATAAATCAGCTCAGAAATCATATTATGACGCTGAACGATAGTGATTCAGGAATCATATTATGGCGCAAGAAAAAGAAATATCGGTAATAAAAAAGAATTGTGTTCCCTAATACGGCGATGACGCACGTTGGGTTGTATAAACCGGAGATGAAAGTACGTTGACTTCCTCCTACGTCGATGTACCTTCCGTCTCCGTTTCTCGAGTCTACCTAATTCCGGTTCTTATTCTGGACACTACTTTCACTTTCAATTTTTGTAAATCCTCCTGGTTGCCGTTCTGGGAACGACTTGCGGATCCTATCCCCTCTCTGTATTCGATGGTACACCCATATAAATACGAAGATAGTACGTGTGTCAAGGCGTCATATAACTTTTGGCTAAAACTGTGTTCAGTACGTTTTGTCAAGCTCGTTAAGTCAATCAGTATTAATCATTTTTAAAACGCTTGGCATTTTAATTTGTATAAATAATTCTTGCTTTATATAAATAATTCTTCCTTTAGTTTTCAATTAATAAGGTAAGTTATAATATAATCTAATGTAATTCCAATGATTTTTAGTTTTTGTCCCTTTTCTAGCAGTTTCCTTTATCAACTAGTTTGAAATTCGTTTTAATCTTATTCTTTTATCAATTTTTGGTTTATTCATCGTTTGTTTATAAGATCTTGCTCAGCTCATTGCTTCTAAAAGAAAAAATTCACCGTTATTGTTATAATTCCTAATAATGTTATGGAGCAACAATTTATTTTGCAATTTCGCAACTTAACTGAAAGATTTGTAGTTAGAAAGATGACTCTAGAGGTATAACATATATTACTACTATTACTTAAGTGGAATGCGCGCGTGATCAGAAATTGGAATCTGAAACCCGCTTGCTTTCGTCCTTTACTTCTGATTGGTGCGCTCATCTAACGGCACTTGGTGAACCAGTGCGTCGACTGCCAACAGTCGATCTCGCAGACTTGTAAGTGCTGTTTGAGAATCACCACGAGAACGTTTTTTGACAAGGATGTCGCGTAAGGAATATCGAATCACGATAATTTGACAGTTTGGTGAGACATCTGATCGTATTTTAACTTTTCTGTCTTCTTTCAAAAATCAATAACATGTTACTATATTTCGTTGTTACTATATTCCATGTTCAATAGTCATATAATTGTTTATTTTACACGTATATATTTAAAACATATGTATATAAAATATTTTAACTTTGATTTTGTTATTGCAAAATAAAAGTGTTGTTACAAACAAAAAAAAACAATTTATAATGATGAAATTAGTAATTTGCGCTAGTTTATACATCGTTTAAAACGGCAGGAAATGTTAATTGTATCGATATGTGTGATGTGTATTTCTTCTAATAATAGGAATATTTTACTAGAGAAATAATAATGAGTCGTGATTGCAGGTGGTGTAAAGAAAAGAGTAGAATGCAACTGCAGCGGTTGTTGGTAATTCTAGGAGCCCTTTTGGTATTGTCTTTGCTGGCATGTTGTCAGTCTACCGGGAAAGTTACTTTTCAGGATAGCGCTATCGAACATGAAGCAGATAAGCAAGATAAGGAAGGTATTTTAGTTTTCGAAATTATTTCTATTAAAATACACGGATATGTCTTATACAATTGTGCCAAGTGTACACGTGATAGTCGCAAAACAGACCGAGTATTTATAAATGTTTGTTAATAACTTTTAACAATACTTTTAGTTATATATGTTTTATTCATTACACAACTTCACTATCTAATTTTTTCGTGTTACATAATTTAAAATTTAAATTAAAAAAATATACTACATTTTTTACTATATTTTAATTGATAAAAATTTAAAAATTATTTTAATTTATTTTAATAAAAAATCAAAATTATATATAAATTTATAATTTCAGAGAATCTTAAAGAAATTACATCGCAACAAAGAGGATTTAATCCTGTTCAACATGTAGAAGATTTATTCAATTATATTGGTTTTGGAACTGGACGAAATGTTGATCCGTATTTGGCAAAGGTCAATGAACGTTGCTTAACTGGTGATTTAGCTGAATGTTTCAAGTCACGAGCGTTAAAATATTTTTCGGATTTTTTCGATCATGCTGAATATTCTTTAAATGATAACGTCCAAATTAAGCGAATGTCTGATCAAGTTGTAAGAGAAGTATATCGTCAGCCGTATGAATATTCTAACGATCCTAGGTATGTTATCTATATCTTTATAGGTATGAAAGTACATATAATTATATACCATATAATTATATATATAGACGTTTATTTTACATATAATGATTTTTATGTGCGTCTAAGAAATACGTAAATAATTTTTCTAAATGTATTGATAATATGTCGAGAGAATATATATTGCTCGAATTATTAAATAAATACTGCGATTTATAAATTAAAAGTAACATATGTTGATTAGATCCGATGAAACAGAATGGGATCAAATGATCAATTTTATGAAAAGAAAGTTGGAAAAGTTTGTTAAAACAATGTCTTTCGAATTGACTATTCCTGAAGAGGAGACTGATCTCAATGATGTATATAAACCAAGATTTTTGAACGAAATTGCTGATGAAATTGATACACTTGAGGATAAAAAGGATACACTATTCTGTAAGTATTTATTTGAAATTATTACACAAAAAAATGTTTTTAAATATTTATAATGATAAAGGTATTTGAGAAAATATTTGAAAAATTCAAAAGCGTAATATATACTCGTATGCAAACGATACTTGCAAATCCATTATTAAGTCTGAGCAATCTAAATCATTTATCAGAAAGTCTATCAGAAAGAAAAAATCAGAAAGAAAATTATTATTTTCTTTATTTTATTGTAGCAATTATTAATTCTTAATTTATAATCACATTTATGTATAATAAATATGCAGTAATAGAATGCCATTGTGTATCATAGTCAATTAATTTCTCGGTTTATTATGCAAAGTTAATGAAGATAATATTTTTATTTAATATTTTTATATATATTTGTGCAAAGTTAGTTCTTTCTGTCAGATAAATTATTCAAATTACTGAAATATAAAACGATTAATTAACAATAAATTAATTTAATTTAAAACTTAACTACTATATGTTTATTAAATGTTGTTTAATTGCTAAAGCTATTTATGTTAAAAACATAAAAGCAAGATTAGGTTACTTAAGTTATTTTAATTAATTAAATACTAAATTTTGAATTTGTTTTAGCTCGTCATCAACTCAGAAAATTTCTTATACCTTTCTTACTTGTCGTAAAGCTTTTCAAAATGAAACTTCTATTATTACTGCCTTTGATTTTGGGATTGGCTTCATTCAAGAAATTCCTTGGATTTTTGGCGATCGTCATACCTGGTCTAATAGGTTTCTTTAAGCTTTATAAACCGTATCAAAGTTATTATCCCCCAGTGTACACTAAAAACGGAGTTGCTCAACCTCATTATGAATCACATCCGAATTTTGATTATCATGGAGATCATTATGGAAATATAGATTCTTATAGTCATGATTTGGCATACCGAGGATATGAACATTATAAATCCTAATCTTTATTGATTTATTTATTACATTATTTCTAAAAAAGAAACAGATTATAATCAAATAGTTAAAAATAAACTTAATTATGAAGATTATTTATATACAAAATATATATTTTGATTAAAAAATATATGAAATTTAAATTATATTATTATAAAGCATATTTTTTATTTAGTTATTTATATTCAACATTAAGTTTTGTATATGTATATTAAACAATAACTTAAATATTTTGTATATATACATATAATTGAAGCGTGAATGTGTAAGAGAGATCATATATTCCTTTTTTCAATAAAATTGCTGAAATATAAGCCTGTTATTTGAATTTTATTATATTAATTTTTATATTTATCGGAACGTAAAAAATCTGTTTTTTACTTAATTTATGTATGCATTATTATGTGTATATATTTAAGTTAATTATGTATATGACTATATAACAATCCGTTTTTTATTAATTTGTGTTAATTATGTACATAATTAAAATTTCATGTCAATATCAATTTCATTGAATACATGTATATAAAATGTATATTAAAAGATATTCTATCTATATCTAATGTCGAAAATGTTTGAATCTTTCTATACACGTATATGTGTAATGTATACAACTGACTTTCTTATTGTCTTAGTTTCTACCTATTATTCCTGCGCTACTTTTATAGTATACGTTCGCAATTTCGAGAATCGATGCATAGTATCGCGTGATATGATTAATTTGTTTGTAAAAATTATAAGAATTATCGCAATTGGGTTAATAATTATGATATAAAATTAAGCAAAGGAGAACACGCTTAATTGTTTTCTGATCTGCTATTAAAATGAAAATAACGCATCTTTATTATAAGCTTTCTATAGAGTCTCCTCTAAGTGAAAACTTAAGAATTTATTATTGAAAGGATAAGGTAAAAGCCGTTCAGCAGTCTGTGCATTATAATATAGATGTATAAATTAAATGCTTTTAAAATTAAGTAGATAATTTAATATATTTAAAATAAAGTGAATAAATGATAGCATTTATTCATACATTTATACTTTCTTGGATTTTAATTTATTTAAAATTTAACTTAATATCAAACAACTTTTTAAATATTATTTTAACAGCCTTATTAAAAAAGAGTTCTAGAAATTATTTAAGATAATGCAATTATAAATCTATTTAATATTTTGTAATTATTTTGTAATATTTAATTTTTCGAATCACATATTTTAAAACATTCAGGAAAGACTATAATTTTTGATGAGAAATAAATTTCTTGAAGAAAGATTTACTGTAACCAACAGCGTTTATGACTCTTTCATGAATCGATTTCACATATATCAGTAGGCTGATTACTTAAACATTAATATATTTCATATTCGTTTTCACTATGATGCTCAAATCAAATTTTAATTTTTTACATTGTATTAATAACATAAACAAATCTAAGCTAGATTTTTATATCCGTAAAAAAATGTGATTAAAAAATAATATATTTTTTATTTAATTTTTTAAATATACGAGTATGTGCACGCAAGAAAAATAAAAATTTTATACAAAAACTTATTGTTTGTAAATATAAAATTTTATAGAAAAGGTATAAATAGATATAAGTATTGTAACATTTATATTAAATTAAATAAGATTAGAAAAAATGGAAAATTGTATTATATCAAATTATTAATTTAACTGTAATAAAGACTTTCAATTTTATGGTTTTAATTAATTTATGATTTTTTTTATCCGATCAAAAGATATCGTTATACCTAAAAATACCAGTTTGATGGTAGAATTATTCGCAGATAGCTGACTATTGTCGAAATGTCTCTTTATACTTGGTTTATAATTGAAAATGCTGCGTGCGGTTTTACACAGGTTCTCTCTCAGGTGCATAACGAGGAACTATCTTGTACTTACATAAACCGGTTCGATATGATTCTCACTCGCGATCCAGAGAATCGGATAGAACAGACCCGCTGACCAAGTGGCCCCGTTTGTCGAGAAGACCGGAAGCTGCCGATCATCCTGCGATCTATGGAAAACAATTCGATATAAATGTCAGTTTTAACCCTTCAGAGAGAATTGAGGGATGTTAAATTATTTTTCAAAATAATCACGGACTCCAAAGAAGAAATGAAAATATATACACTACAATTACAGAAAATAATGATAGTAAAAACTAAAAAGATAATGAGAACGTCACATTAAATTACATCCCCCTTTTTTAAGATAATAAAATATTGATATAAATAATAATGATTAAATTGAAGTAATTTGATGTATGTATTTGTAGTATATTTTATATTGACTAACTTGTTGATAAAAAAGAAATTAATATAAAATAAAAAGAATATTACATATAGACAAGGATGTTTTTATGAGTATATTATGAAAAATTTTCAAATACAACGCAAGTATTTGATGGCAATAATTTGTATCTGACAGAGAAGATAATTACTCTTTTTTGTTCGGCGACGATTACGGAAGTGAAAGAAGATTATTAAAATATAAGCTATGGCATTACAATGCAATTATTTGATCGTCGTGTCGCAAAGAAAACACAGTAGTACGTGCGAACTAGTGCATTTATAATAACATAAATTTTCCTAGATACTCAAGCATATCTATGTCGAATTACACCAAGGACATTGATGCTCACATTGTAAGTACAGTGCAGCGAAAGCGATGCTCGTATATGCCTATGTAAAATGGGCCATCTGACTTTTCGGGGATTTTCTATTAAATTACCGGAAATGTCCTTGTAAGGAATGGCTTAGAAAACTTTCTTCTATATACTTTCTGCATTTCTATCGGCGATTTCATTTCCTACATTACCCGCTTCAACTTTAAGTACAACAATATATGACTGTACAGTTACACGCACTAAATAATAATTGCCAATGTATATATCTTACGAATAGATCTAATTGTTAACGTTATGATTCTTCAGTTTAAATCATACTTTCGTATCTTTTTGCATTATCGTACAATAATTCCAAATTATCGCATTAATTAGTGTGGGACACACTAGTTACTCAGAGATATTTACTCAAAACTTCATGTTTTATTTATCTTACAGGTGTTATTTGCAGTTAATGTATATTTTATAAAATTTGTATACATTCGATTTATAAACTTTAATAAAAATAAATAAAAAAGTCATTTTAATAGTAATCATTTAATGGTTCGAAATAATCTTGCATAATATAAAATGTAATTATATATTTGCATGTTAATATCACACTCTACTTATTGGTAGTTTCGAATAAAATGTACATTCCGGATCCTGACCAAATGCCCGTCCGGAATTCGACATGCGCGTAACGGTGCACGGAGCACCAAAACGCTCGTTTGCGAGTGCCTTAGGTCTCACGATGGTGCCAGTTGCGTGGGGAAAGATCGGTTAACGTGTATATGGACGAGCTTTCGCGTCTAGGTCGCGAAACGTTAACCTCTGTACCGCGAAAGTCGCTTTTACAAGAAAACGGGCTGAATTCAAGAACGAGAGAGGCGGATATGGTCGTTTTCCTCGATATTCTCTACGCCTCATTATCCATCCAGTTAACAGTATTCGATTTATTTAACAGATATTTCAGATTATAATTTGTGGTCTTAAACACCGTTTCACCCGGCGCGTTTTACTAAATGATTGTATTACATCTTCATTTCGTATTTGCATAAATGAACATAATATACATGGTGTAACGAGATTGCGATGATTATTCCAGTATTTAATATTACATATGTAATGTTTAACATGATTATTTTTAAAATTGGCATATCTGTGGTAGTAAAATATATATTCCCATCACTGATTTTGTTTGCCATAATTATTACGGCCAGCATTTATTGTAAAAAAATATTTCGAATAAAGAAAATCTATGGATTTTTTTGATGTTAATTAGTTATATAAAATTATCTCATTATACGAAGCAATGACATTGATATGTTATAATATCTTTTCATAGATTGTATATCTTACATTATCATCTCGTGAAAAATGTATTTTGTCAGACAAGCTTAGTGAGAAATTGTTTTCAATATAACAGTTCATTATTATGTGTGTGTTTGTGTGCGAGATCTCATAATTTAATTGAATCACATCATGTATATGATTAATTATTAAGATAATGAAATTTGATACCAAGCTCGCATAACTCTTGGCAGTCGTGTGAAACGTGCCTCGCAATGCTTAGTTTAGTTTGTAGATTATATAGTTACTTTCTAGAATAATTTCTTAGCTCTATATACTTTGTCTGTTGTGGATCAGTTGTGTAACGGGTATTACAAGTCCGATAAAATATTAATGATCTTTGCTCATTGGAAAATGTGACTGAGCGATGCCTAAATAGCACTCAACTTACGTATCCGTCACATGTGACATGCGATGCGATAAATGTGCAATTGACGATACCTTCGCTGCTTCGTCTCTTTACCTCTCTTTACTTTCCTCGGAATTGTTGTAACGCAACGCTGCTTTCTACTCGTTTGCACTTTGATTTCGTTTTGCAATCGAAATGACGTCGACAGATTTACGAGTGAGTTAATGAATGACGAGCGAGCACATCCGATAGTACTCATTCCTCAATAAGAATCTTATTTAAGAACATCGGGAACAACGGAAGCAATCAAATTAATCGAATCCGAGAGTTGCCTGATTGTTCGTCGGACAATAACGTAGGTATACGTAAGTGCATGTGTGTAACATTTGATTAGATATAATGTTGTCTACACGTATATAACCATTGCGAACGTATACCGATATGTGTTAGAGTTTCTCCTCAATACCCTGAATCCTTGTCATTCTGGAACAAACGTATATATCCGGTGCATCTGCATACCGCCGCGCCGCCGAAGTATGTATGTTAATCTGACGTATGTAATTGTTACTCCTACAGCTTTTTATAATTTTTGGAAAATTAATTAAATTATCTTATAAAGAGAGAATTAATTCAAAAGCCCACAGATATTAAATCCCCGTTGGATTACTCTGCTCCAGTAATTTCCTCGAACCGTGCTTGTTTA